AAAAAAACATGCTGAACGAAGCAACAGAACGGCAGGATCACATAGAAAAAAGAACCAAAATAGAAATCTAAATTAACTGCAGACTTACCTTGAGAGATTGAGGCCACCGTTAACACGCCCATCACCACTTATCTCTCCCCCCGCTGCCTCTATCCTCCTTTTTTCTAAAGTAATAGTAATTAAAAGAAGAAATTTTTCAATTTTGAATTCCTAAAGATATAGCGTGAAAGGAAACTTCAGCTTCTTTTCAGTTTACCTGAGGCGTCCTCCGGTTTGTGGTCCACTGAGAGATCAATTGCTTTACCTTTACGACAAAGTACTGCTCGACTATCACCGGCATTGCCAACGACGACTTTGTCCTAAAAAATCACCAGTGCAACTTCCAAAATAAGCCCACAAAAATATTTTGCAACAGCAAACACCAGCACCTTAAAAAGAAGAACCAAACATGCCGTTGTACCAGAATCTTCACCGGGGGTATCTCCTGAAGGCCCATTGTAACATGCCACCTAAAAAAATATGGCTAACTTCGACAGGTTATAAAAAACAGTGCTCTTTTATAATTTATGCTTTTACTTCTTCAGCTTCTACGTCTTCATCTTCATCATCTTCTTCACTGACTTCATCTTCCTCCTTATAATCCTCATCAAATGACTGTTCAGAATCAGAGGACATTGCTGTCTGTGTCTCCAGAACTCTGAAAAATGAACTGACTAAATGGTTACTTCACATATAAACGCCTGCTAGTCCTGCAAACCTCGTTCAATCACTACAGCAGTTTTACCACAGTTAACAATTCAAATAAAGAATGAAATACCCAACAAACAACTGCAAACTGCACGCTATCTCAGATAAACCTACAAGAAAATCGTCAAGTAAAAAATAAAATTCAAAGAGCAACAGGTAAAACTCCATAAAAACAGTAACGTTCAAGAAAATTTTAATGAAAAGATTTACGTAGATGACTGAGCTTTGGTTTCTTCTGTGGAGGTCCTCAGGTCAGTAGTAACACTGGTACCTTCATTATCATCTCTTTCTAACTCCAACTCCAATGCACTTTTTACCGTTTTTTTTTCTACTTCAGTATCAGCTTTCGCACGATTTCCATTTTCAATCTCAACAGCAATTTTTTCACCGTCTGCAGTTTTTGCATGAACCATTTCGCTAAAACAAAAATCTTCCGCTAAACGTCAGATAACACAGAAATAATTTCTTCGGTACTAGCAGGCAAAAAATTCAAATGCCGTGAAAAAAACCAGTAAAAGAGTACCAATGTAAAGAAGATCGTAATCACCAAATCTATATTAAAATTACACATATAAAAAGATTTTTCCAAAACCATTTAGGAGAAACCTCATTGAGCCAAAAGTTTTGAATCATTCTTGAGATTACTATTTGTTCATTTTGAAAAGATACCGCAAAAATAAGATCCAGTAAGAAAGACGAATGCAGAAAAAATGCATTACAAACAAAAGTTTCCTCGGAGGAGAGGTTTCAAGAATTATTCTTCATTAAAAAATAATAAGTAAAATAACACGAGTTGAACTCAAGTTTGCCACTTTTTGTAAGAAAAACGACTTACCAACATTTTATAAATTATCAGAAATGAAAATTATCAAGAATTATCAGAAATGCCATTTCCAAACGGAAACCTACTCATTCGTGTGAGACGATTCATTGACGCCAGTGCCCTCAGGGAGTTTTACCTTGTCAACAGACACAGACTGAGAGTTACAATCATTTTCGGCTCCTTTATTATTAGATTCAACTAAAATAAGAATGGCCACTAGCAATTATTTGAAAATTGTCCTAAGACACAGACTATACAGTCGCTAATGCCAGTCATAATATTTAAAGAATTACCACACTCCACGTTATCTGACTTCGTCCTCTTAGGATTCTCATCAATAGGAGAATGGCAAACACGTTTCTTGATCTTTTCCTCTCCTTCTTGACCGTTAAGATTGTTATTAACTACCGAATGTTTCTCCTCAGAAATCTGTTCATCTTTTCTTGTCTCATTGGCCTCGCTGTTATTCATTTCAGAATCCTTCTCATTGGAGTCCTATACATAGACTATTTAAAAACTAAATAAGTTTTTAACAAATGTCAAGCCCAGCACAATAAACCTCCCTAAAACAATCCCTGCAACCGCTCAGTTGAATTTAAAGTAAACTATCCTGCAAATCGTCTAACATTTTGAACAAGTTGTTAAAACCTAAATTCTACTGTATTAATTTACCTCCAAAAGTAAGACAAGTCGTCTTGAATCAAAATTAACTCCCACAAAAAAAAAAAATACTCTGTGCTGCAAAGATAATACAGATTTGACAAAAAGTATAATGCCATAGGAGATAACCATCTAAGCATCTAAAAAGTTTTTAAAAATCACTAAACTCACTTTGGAGCACTTCAACGGTTTTTCTATCTCATCACGAAAGAGCTGCATGTTCTCCAAATCAATGACTGCTTTACCACTTCGATCATGTCGCAAAGAAAAACCATATTTTTCAAGAATCGATTCTAAAGGCATAGTTGCCTCCTCATAAAGAGCTTGCTGAAATTCGAAAATAACTACTTCATTTTATAAACTACATTTAGGCAATGCAAAACAGAGTGCTAAAAATTACTTTGTCCTCGTCGTCACTAGGTTCCTGTTGCCTGTCTGAAACTGTTCCTGACATATCTTTCAGTTCTTTAAGAACATCTTCCGATCTAAATAACTGAACATTCGTCAAGTGTCGACAACACATGGACTAGACTTTCGACTATAAAGGGACGGCGCTCGTCACTACTGAGCAAACTCAGAACTTTAAACATTATTTTAAGCTACAAAAAATTACCAAAACGCAGCGCTGTAAAAACTTGACCATATGATTTTGTCAGGTAAATTAGTAAAGTCTCACCGTAAAATATCATCGAATTCTAGAAACGCTTCATCTATTGCTTTAGCAAATTCTCCTGACTTCCAAGGCTCTTTGCTCTTGAGAAGACTGGGCAAATGCATTGCTGTGTATTGAGCGACTTCACTCCCTGAATATGAGATAAATAAAACAGTTTGAGAAAATTCAGCCGGGAACCATTGCGGCTAAACACACAGAATTGCCACTTTTTCTGAATGAAAAAATCTCACAAAGCTTTTAACCAGTGAAAACATGTAGTAATGAGTAGAATCAGACTTCACACAGTTTCGGAAACTAACATAAGTTTTATGATCCCTTATTAGCTGATGCCATAAAACATCAAATTTTGTGAACCTTTGCATGTTAGAAACCGAACAAAAGTTATTTAAGTTTATACTAAATAAGTCGTTATTTCGTCTTTGAGAAACTGTTAGAAATATAGTAAAAAATTACCTCCATGACCATCATAGACAGCAAACAAAGAACAATCTTCTGTGAAATCCAAGATACAGTTATGAGCATCCTATAACAATAAAAGATTTTTGGAATATATATTCAGCAGATTCTAAATTAATATTTAGAAAATAAACGAGAAACTGTCAACCTCCTGATTCGTCCTCCATCCCTGCATGCAACTTGCTGCGTAACGAACTCGTTGGTTTTCCCCAACTTCAGACTCCTTTTCAGTGACTGGTTTATTCAAATAAGCGCCCATAATAATTGCAGTAAGTCTTATCAAGATTAATTACCATTTATGACAAAACTCAAAAGAAAGAGGTCGCTGCAATGGAGAAAAGTAATTCTAAAATCCTATATCAACTAAACTATCCAACAAACAATAAACGAACCATAACTAAAGTTTAAAAAAAGTTAATTTCTCCCTAACTTCTTTCAGAGGGAAAAAAGTAGTAAAAGACACTTAAGCAATTACGTAAAACCCGCAGCATGACAGTAAACCCATGACAAATAGTAAAATCGTTGTTTTAAAAATTGTTACACTTCATAATTTTTTTCTAAAAAAATCGGACTGTAACAACAGAAGAAAAACTGTAATCAGCATTTGTAGAAATACTGCTGCATTCTTTTTTCTGTAGCATAGCAAAGATAATGATGCTATGTGTCAGATTTGAATTCGACGCTCTAAAAATGCTCGAAAAAGGGACCTCAACAACAAGAACATCAACTACCGTTTGCCAATATTAAATGAAGATTTATTTATCCGCTAAATAATTTCTGCCTTAATCAAAACTTCTGAAGGCGTAATTGCATCTTAAAAATAAAAATAAAAATACATAAGAAAAAGAAGAAGAAGATTCATACCAATAATGGTACTACTGAAATCGGTAAGCGACAAAAAACTACTGAGCAGAGCATCTATCCATATATATATATCTGTAATGCGTTAATATCAACAGTAACAACACAACAAAACACGATCCAATATTCAATTATTTTCGTTAATATTACTGTCATTGTTGTTATTATAACTATTATTATTAGTATCCCAACTATTATTGTTATTATTATTCGTAAAAAAAATAAATCAGATAATTTTTCAAGTAGTTTTCGTCATTTCATTCACCTCTTTCTTTTCTACCTATCATCCCACTAATGGTAAGCAAAGGTTTAGCGGAAAAAGAAAAAAAAAGCAGAAAATTATTCCAAGGAAGGAAGCATCAACGACAATGCAGAGCAAAAAACTTCTTCGTTCTTTTACCTAAACGAAGATGCCTTAAACAGTCATTCACCGACACCTAAAATGATCCATACGTACATAGAAAAAGACACACACGCACAGACACCTACAAAATACATACGGACTAACGGACGGACGGACGAACTGACCACAGACACACACAGAGACACACACAGAGACACACACAAACACACACACACACACACACACACACACACACACACACATTCACGGTGGCGCCTAACTGAATAAGTGGAAAGTTCGTGTTGCTGGTACATACCGGGGGTATATGTATATATAGCTATCAAAATTCATCACCACATCAAAAATCACTGTGTACCCTATCGGTTCCTTTCCCGATCTCTGCTTCTCTACCTATTGATTCCTGCAATCCCGCCATAGAGCTGTAAATACCCTCCAGCCGTTGGAATTTTGCCAAACCCGGATCCATTAAAATTTTTATTGTTAGTTAGTGGCCTTTGATAATCTGCACTTCATCTCGGATGAAGTTCTCGTTGTCGTCGGTTGACATCCGCTACAGCTTGCTGTTGTTAGCCTTGTTTTTGATCAAGCTTCTGCTACAGGCTCTGTAATTTGAAAATACTGTTTCTTTAGTTGAAACGTTTCTTTGGTCCTTAAGTCCTGTCTTAGTTGTGTGAAAATTTTTTTTTTTTTCTTTTACACTTTACAACTATCTGTGAAAATGAATATTTATGTAGATATGCTTATTAGGATTTTTTAAAGGATTTGTTAGTGTCTTTTCTGTGTGCAATTGATCATTTTTATGCTATGTGAAATAACAAAACGTTTGCTAAAATTTCTTGTCGAGAGAGCAAAAAAAAAAGAAAAGAAAAAAACAGTTTTACGGTATTCAGTTGTGTCTATGGGCTTATTGAAATAAAACATACAGTTTTTTATTAATCTGTAAATTTGTGTCTGTTTCTAAACAAGTTCTGTTGATTGCTTTCGGAAGTTCTAATGAAACCATAGACATTATAATTATGGTGATAAATCTTTCTAAAATTGAAAAGTATTTTTACCATTCAAAAGTATAAAAAATTTTGATTATATAACAATGGAGAAGGTGTTAGTTCAAATTACGTTTGAAGCGGATAAGTCTCAAAGGAACGACAGTACAGTATAAATTTTATTGCTGGTGTAAAAGAGGAAAGAAAAGGAAGGAAAAAAATGAGTGAACAGGAAACGTATGGCAAAATGTTAGTGTTAGAAGTCGTTTTTGTTTGAAAATAAATTGTGGTTGAAATTGCAGCTTTAAAAATTGAAGAATTAAAGAAGCAATTAATGCAATACTAACAGCAATTATTTTCTCTTTCAATTTGGGCTTTTTTTTAGCTTGTTCTAAGATTAAATAAAGCTTTATGAAAAACAACCAATTTTCCAGTATTCTTGTTCTGCTACACAAACATACACGATGCATATGTGTATTACCCATGTTTTTAGTGAACGAAGGTTTTTATTTGGCTTTTTGTTCACCTAGAAATTTTTTTTATGAAGAAAATTCAGAACATACTGTTTGGTGGTTAATTTTTTTGAAACCACACTGATGGTTCTTTTTTTCCTTCAGTCAGAAGTAAAGGATCGGTATGTTAGAACAAATTTGATTAGCGTGTAATTATTATTAATGTCTTTTTTGTTAAATGATTGATAAACGAGTGAAAATATTGGTGATAAAGGAAAACACCGGTTGTTGTTTGTAATTGAGGAATTAACCTTTGGTTTTGGTGGTTTTTTTAGACTGATCAACCATGGAGTGATAGCTTTTTTGCGAGAGTTGTATCTCATAATGCTTCCATTTGAAGATAGCGAAGGAAACGAAAGAAAAACAAGTATTTGTACTTTTGATCTTTATTTAGCCTGCCTTCCCTTTTTAAGTAATAAATTAATTATTGTATTTCTTTTCTCATATACCCATTCTTTTTTTTTTTTTTCATTCATGCAAACACATGTCATACATAAATTAGTTTTTTTTTGAACATTACTGCATAAAAGTTGGTTTTGCATCAATTTTTTTTTATCACATTTCAAAACTTGAAAGTTGCATGTTAGTTTATTTGCCCGAACATTGATTTTTGATGACAGCGAAATTAAAGGGAATGTTTGATCAGATATGGCAAACTAATGAAAAATAATATGTTGTTAGTTATTTGATTGAATTTTTTTCTTGCAAATTTAAGCTATAAAAATCATAGGTGTTGAAAAGTCGTCAAACAAAAGACAAAAAAAAAAAAAGAAAAAGTGTAAAATCTATATTTTCACTAAAGTCAATAAAACATTTAGTGAGTGAAAAATAAGGTTTATAAAGTTATTTTACAGTGGAAGAAAAAAGAACATTTTTTATTGGCTTTTCCTTTTGCATAACAGATGTAATTTTAGAAGCTATTATCGGGAATATAAAGTTGGCATTATTTTTTATTTATTGAATTAAGTTGAGGGACCTCTAAGGTGACTGAATTGGGGGACATCCGAAACATAGTTGGTTCATTATAGTTTTTGTTAACCAAGACAATAATACGTTGTGTCATTCCTTTCAGCTAAATTTGAAGAATTTTTTTTAAAAATAGAAGGCAAGTGGTATTTGTTTAGTTGAAATTTATTTGACAAAAATGAACTGAGATTTTTG